AGATGAGTCTACTTTGTCACAAGACACTATAACTCCCCCTAATAATGCCACTTGAACAGCAAGTTATTTGATCATTTGTGAAAATACACAAAACACACACTTGTGCTTTGATTCTGCTGTGACATCATGTTTGTCACAACCATTACTGGTTCTCTGTAAGTTAAAAATATGTTTATCATTGTTTTCAGAAATGTGTTGTAAAGATGGAGAGACCACTGCCAATCCAGCAGTTTAGATTAAGATTTAGAACCAGCGCTGAAGGTAGTTCACTGATGAAGATGTAGACAAATAACTCACATTTTATGGTGCTGTGCGATAGTGATTTTCATTCTACACAAACAGACACACACATAGAACTGTCTTGCACTAACAAGCAAGTATTGTGTGGCACTTTTTTCAGTATAAGTTACAAAGGACTTTACAGGACAAAGAAAGGAGAGGTGAATGGAGTAAACTACATGTACTGCACCTCACTGGGTCTCACTTATGTTTCTGCAGAAGACAGCAAAATACAATGTAGAAAGCCATATGTCTACTTACGTAAATGTATCATGTAGGACATTTTCCCCAGCAGCACTTCCAGTCGTAAAATACCCGCCTCGAGATCAACAATGGTACAGCCTGAGCTGGGGATCTGACGGAGAGAATAACATGTCATCTTCAACCATTGATCTTCTTTGGCTAGTTGGTAACTTCATCCTTAAACGTTTATTAAAAACAGACGAGCTGAGCAGCTGTCTTTTTGTTGTATTGGTCTATCTGGAGGAAATACTCTCCAAATACACATTCTATATCTCATCAAGCACCTGCAGTTCACACCGTACACCAACAGAGGTTAGAGTTAGTCATGGGTGTGTGTATAAGTGATTACCTTCCTTTTAGCATAAACCACCAGGTGAACAGTCACATCCGTTTGGAACCAGTCGTACCTACAGAAACAAGCAGACAACAAAGTCACTGATTATGTACGCATTTGGTCCACTTTGATCAGCCGGTCTCATGTTTGTCTTTCATACCGAGGCCGAGAGTCTTTGTCTGGGGGAGGAGCCACTGAGACAGGTGGGGCGAGGCTAGTCAGTGGTGGAGGAGGGATGATAGCTAAGAAGAAAAACAGAGAGAAAAACAACATCACCCCAATTAAGACATAAATTCATGATTAGTGTTAGACTGACAATAACTATTACACAATATGGAGACCAATATTGACCTTTCACAGGGTTTCTGCAGACCTGTTTTTAAGACCTTTTTAAGTCCATTATGACTGCAATTTAATACCTATTTTGCATCCATACTGGTAAAAAAAAAGTACAAAGAATATGAAGGAAAATTGGTATAGGTTCCATAGTTGTTACAGCATGATAAAACACATTTAAAAATGAGACTGACAAAGGCAGCTTTATACAGGTACCAATAACTTCATCAAATCCAATCAATTTCTAAGACCTGACAAAATCATCCTAAGAACCTGCAGACACCTTGCTGTAATAAATGATTTTATACGTTTTAGTCTATGAAAACCAAATCACAAAGGCTGTACATTGATGCCAACCACTACTGAGGCATATCATTCATTATATAGATTTCCAGGCAGCCATTCGTTTTGACTCCTTTTAAAAAGGACCCCTGTGGCATTCTTGCAGTGAAGTTGCAGATTGCAAACAAAACTACAGCCTTGAAAAAAAATTTCTAATCTACAGCCAGTGTTTGGTTTGTCCATTCTGGGCTACTGTAGAGACATGGCGGTTCAAAACGGCAGACTCAGTGGAAGAGGACCCACTCCCTCTGTAGATAAAAACTGCTCATTGGCACACAATCCATATTTTCAGGTAATTATACATTAATGTATATATTATTATATTCCATTTCTGACAATAGATCGTCCTAAATGTTACACACTGCACCTTTAATGCTATAGGAAAATAAAGTTGCAGAGATTGGAAACAGAAATATTAAGCAATCATACACAACAGTTTTTATGTCAAAGTTGTTCTCATTCTTTGGCAATCCAGTTTTGAAATCTCTTCTTGTTTTGTTCAAGTGTTTGTAAGAAACTCTTAAGTAATCTTTTCTTTGTCACATTTTACAAGGTGTAGAAGAGTAGGAAAACAACTGAAAAAACAAACAAAAAGTGACACTTTCATCAACACTGTTCACCCAGGAAATGACTAATCAAAGTCAGGAGATGGTGTTCAGGCAGAAGCATTCAGCGGGAGAAAAGACTGACCTAGAACCATGTACATGGCCCTCGCAGCCTTACACTCTTTGACAACAATAATGATTAGATCTACCACAAACAATGTTTGTATGTACAGGTATATTACATTAAAAAACAAACAAATTCTATAAAACGTGTGCACCTTGTCTGAACTGTGTAGAGCCTGGTGCTGTTATGCTGCAGGGATTGCCTGACTGCTCTGTTTGCACATTATCATCGCAACCTCTGGTGTTGTGTGTATGAATCTGAGACGGCGTTCTTTCTTTTTGATTTGCTCGTTTTTGTTCTCCTGTGAATTTCATAATCTATCCATCTTCTACTTGTTGTCAAAGTTCAAACTAATACATATATTAAAAAGTCATATATTAAACTCTCTACTGTGGCCTAACGAGGTAATGCTGCAGATCAGATCCAACAGTTAGACATACTCTAGGTTGTGTGTGTATGTGTGTGAGTGTGTACCTTTAACAGCTGTGGTTGGCTTAACAGCCATCCTGCCCACCAGGCACTCTTTCAACATGGACTCATAGTTCACCCAGCGATGGACCTGTGCACAAACACATGTGTGTTACCATAGCAACGTAAACCAATGCCTAAAATAAGGAACTACAAAAACCCTTGCAGCACTCACAAGGCTGCCAAAACAAAACATGTTCCAGTCCTTTCACTCCTGCAGAGCTTTTCCAGGACATGTTACATTCACTGCAAGGGCAAGCATCCTTTGGTTTGTCCCAAATAAGCTACAACTATATCAGCTAGGAATGATATAATCTCTGTAAGTAGCAAATTCTGTCTCGGTTTGACAATGAAATCTATTAATATTGGGGGGGCAATACATGTTGGTTGTGAGCAGTAGGCAGGCCGAGTGTCTGCAGAGCAGGGTGCCCCTCCACAGACACCAAGCACTTCTGTTGTTGCTGTGCACCTGTCTGTCTGTCTGTCTGTCTCTGTCTCTGTCTGTCTCTCTCTCTCTCTCTTTCTCTCTCTCACCCCAACTGGTCGAGACAGACGACCACCC